ATTACATTTTCTGGTTGGCTGAGAGTTAATCAGCGGTTCCTCATTGTTCCAACCCCTGCAGAATGTTTCCTTCCTCAAATGTCTGCATCCGCTGCTGTTGAAGAGGGATGATGACAGCCTGAAGGGTGTACAAAGAGGGTGACCAGGGCTGGGGGATGGCCTGGAAACTGTGCTGGAGAAGGACTGACTGACACGGGGTGTGGTTGCTGCCCCAAATCCCTGCAGGCCTCCCCAGGATCACAGGACTGAGACAGACAGGGTCCAGCTAAGTGTAAAAAGCATTTTCTAGAAGTTGTAGTGGTCCAGGGATGTGGCAGGCTGCTTTGGGAGGCATGGCACAGCCCCGAGTGCCTGCCTGGCAGGGACATTGCCAACATAGTTCTTGCCCTGGATAAACAGGCAGATTTCTTGCAGTCCAGAGAGCTGGGGCTGTTGATCTTTGCTCCTGCAGCCAAATCCTGGAGCCGAGTCAGACTCCTACAGCCTCCCACCACTTCTCAAACAGCCCTGGGATTTCTTATACCATTTTTCAGATGAGGATATGGAAGACTCAGAGAGGTGAATTGAATTGCTATAACCATGCATGGGTGGACTCGAATCCAGGGCCTCTGACTGTTAATAGGAGTCTGTCTGCCTCCCAAGGCTCCATAGCACAGACAACCACTTGGTAGGTAGCAACTGACTGGCTTGCTGCCTGCTTAGCACCATTATGTGAAAACGATGCTGGGAGAGACAGGAGCCCCTCCACTGAGAGGGTGAGAGCCTGTGCTCGTGGTGTGGGGAGGGAGGACAGGGGGTGCATTCTGAAAGAGGACAGTAGTGAGGAAGGGAATGATCCTAGGCAGGGGCACCATCACGGCACACGCATGCCCCTGGCAGGGAGGCAAGGACAGGGTGTGCCCAAAGATCCAGGAGGGAGGAAAGAACTCTGAGGTCAAAATTTCCTGCCACCACCTGTGTGACTCTAGCAAGTTGTTCAACCTCTCTGAGCCTTAGTTTTGTTATTTTTAAAATTGAAATAATAGCTTCACAGGATTTGGGGAAGATTAAATGAGATTTTGTGTGTGTGTGTGAACTTCACAGTATTTAATAAATAGTATCTGTTGTCTTAACATTACTGTTATTCCTACCTGTTGAGGGAGGATGGAATGTGAGACCAGAGGGTAGGACAACTCAAAGGACACAGGGTATGCAGAGCAGTGAAGAGGCCGGGCTGGCTGGGGGAAGAAGCAAGGTGGGAAAGGGCGGCCCAGCAGCCAGGAGCCCCACGCTGCTGGCCTCACTGAGCGCTCCTGGTCCTCCTTCCCTTCAGGGACTCTTTCCTGCTGTCCCATGGAGTCTGGAGTGGTCCAGGCCCTCACTGGCTGGCCGGGGAGCAGACAGTCCCACAGGCACATCCCAAAATCTGTCTGAACATGTGCTCCCACACTGTGTGACCTTGGACAGGGCCCTGCCGTCTCTGAGCTTTGTCAAGTGAGCAGTTACACTGCCTTCCCTTCTCCCCAGGCCCCAGCACCCCGCTGCTAAAAGGATGGAGGCTGAGGTGGGGGGGACTGGACTTGCACAGGAGAACCCATGAACAGTAATTGGTAACAAAATGCCACAAGGTTCATTCATTCGTTCATGTGACATTTACTGAGCACATTTTATGTGCCGGGGCTGGAGATACATTAGCAAACAAAACGAACATTCCTGCCCCCATGAGGGAGGGTCGTACCTTCTAGTGGGAGGTGATGTGATAAGAAATAAACATGATGGGCCGGCCCGGTGGTGCACTGGAGAGTGCGCCGCTTGGGAGCGCGGCAGCGCTCCCGCCGAGGGGTCGGATCCCACATAGTGACCAGTTCCCGCTCACTGGTTGAGCGTGGCACAGGCGCAACACTGAGGGTTGCGATCCCGTTGCCGGCCAGTAAAAAAGACAAAAAGGAAAAAAAATAAAAATAAAAAAATAAAATAAACATGATAAACAAGTAACTAACAACTTAGTATGTTAGAAGGTGGTAAGTGCTATGGAGAAAAGT